ATGTATATAGTTTTTTTCATTCCCCTAAGAAGCTTATTTATCTTTCTCACATGCTTTTGAATATTCTTAGTGAGTAGTGTTGAGCAGATGGAGAAATCAGAATAGAGCCCCTGAAGAGAATATCTCCTCCTTTCCACTCTTCTCAAACCATTTGCTAAGTATTTCAAGTTTTATCTTTGGGAAACCACACCCATGTGATAAATCATTCACTGTCTGACCTAGCTGGTCTAAACACACATCTCTATATTTCATGGCTTCATCATGGTGGAAGGGGTGGGAAATCAACATTTTCCACATTTTAAGACAACAGAGTAGAAAATTTGCTGTAAGTACAAGTCTCCAGAATCATTTTGGGGTCACCCAGGAGCTTTACTGGACACACCGTGAAGGTAGCTCCTATTTCTGGTCGTGGACCATCTGGTTATCACGGTTTCAGAAGACAGAGCTGCCATGGAAGCCATGATGCTCTGGCAGACCTAGAGAGTCAGATGCATTCAGAATGGGTTGTGCACATCTGCACCCAGAAAAGTTGGAAGCCAGCAGACACTTTCCTTCCTGTCTCAACTGCACAGGCCAGCAGGGAGGCCTGCAATTGGTATGGGGGCAGCCCATTCATCGGCATCACACAGGGCAATCAAATTAAATAGAAGTTACTTCTCTTCAGGACACAAGGAGAACAACCCTCCTGCTCAGCCATGGGAACACACGAGTGTGCAGGGGAACAAAGGGAGAGCCCCACAGCCAAACCCCACTGGGAGGAAAATGAAGGCCACAATGGGCCAGTGCCCTCAGCGTGGGTGCATGGGGCAGCCCTCTAATAACACCAAACAGAAGCCCCGTGTGGATAGGCCACCAAAGCGTATCCAACAACAAGTACCACGTACTCAGAAAGCTGATAACATACCAAGCCCCTTATTTGCAACACTGGGTGTACTTATAAGAACCTTTCACAAATCAGAAGGCAAATGTGAAGTAATATTATTTCAGTAGGGATATTGTTTTCTGCTCCCATTTCAGACCTCCTCCAATTGAAGGAAACATAAGAAAGAACTGTAGATTCTAAAGAGTTAGAAAAATTAACAGGTATGTGAGAACTTTGAGTATGGTTCAGAATGAGATTGAGAGAAAGGTAGAATGTTTTAAATGGTCCTCTTACCTTTTTGTCACTCAGGCCAGAAACCTGGTCCACATACTCCTCTTGGATCATGAAGGCAGCTAAATTGGCAGTGTAGCTGGCCAGGAAGATGACAGCGAAGAAGGCCCATACTGACACCATGATCTTGGAGGTGGTCCCCTTTGGGTTCTGCACCGGGACGGAGTTGTTAAACACCAGGCCCCACAGTAACCAAATAGCTTTGCCGATGGTAAAAGATGGGCCCCCTGGCTCTGAAATGAACAAATGACAAAGACAGAAAGTTAAGACAGAGTCACTGGTTCTGTTGAAACCTACAAGCACACAGAGCTGGTAAGTTCCTGCTCAGAGCAGGAAATCCTCCAACCAAGACCCAGCCCTTTCACAGAAATCTTTTTAAGTAGAGAGCTTGTGTCTCTCTTCTCCTGGGAGGGACCCCCTGAAGGCATAAGAAAGTTCCTCAGGAGAAAAAGCAGAGGCTTGGGTGCATATGGGATCTTGCTCCCACTAATGGTCATGACTCAGCCAGAGCACTGGAGGGGCCAGCTTTCTTTCCCTAAGATCAAGACCCTCAAGATCATATCAAATCCGAATAACAAAGGCAACCACCCCATTATCATCACACACATGTCCCTATTCCTGTTGTTCCTAAAATTTACATTACTATCTACCAAGAAAATATTTCAACTTCCAAAAGATCAGCAAGAACTGTGTGGGGTCTTTTTCTACCATTGTCATAGACCTCCTCCAATTTTATTCACACTGATGCTAAATGGCTTTCAATGTACTTTATCCTGGTTTTTCCTTACAGTCTAGCATCAAGCACTGAATGTTTCAAGGACAACTCGGACCCCTCTCCAATGCCAACACTTCCCAAATGGTTTCCTACAGTAGCAGCTCCTGCACAAAAGAATGTCAGGAAGCCCAGGCAGGTAGTCATAAACCCCTAGCTTTGCCACATGTAGCTGTGGGCACTGAGGCAGGCTATCCTTGACCTTCCTTCCCCTGATCTTCACACAGATAGTGTCAAGACTTCTGCTGATAATCTTCTTGTGACCTTACTGCTTTCTCTTCTTGGTGATGATGAGATCTTGCCTGATGTCTAGGTCTGCGTGTAGCCCCTCCACTGCAGAAATGAACATCTGCCTGCACAGTTTTACAACACATTAGCTCAGGTCTTACGATATTACCTGTGATCCTACAGCATCTGCTCAGCCAACTAAATCACCGGTGACTACACATGTCGAGCCTAATATCTAACTGTGCACACACATCTGTGCATACAGACCTGATTTCATGGAACAGATGTGTAACTAAAAAGATGTTTATAAATAAAAGTTTTATACATTGTAAAATGCCTCAAGGAGTCTTAATATTTAAAATGGCCCCGTGTTGAATGCCTTTGTGAAGACAAAGCATCGTTTGGTAAAGTAATTGTAAAGTAAGTCCTTGTTCTGAATTTTATATCTAAATTTTTGCCTCCTTGATTTTCTTCCAGTGTAGGGGAGGAGGCACACTAACTTAAGCTCTTGACATGGTCAACCTATGTATGTAGTCATGTGCTTCTCAGATGTTTCACTTGTTACCAATGCCCATTGGGATGGGGAGCAGGTCAAGCTTCTGGATGACCCTCTGGCAGAGGTGGAAAGCGTGGACTGTACCATGCTGTGGAGGCAGCCAAACTTCCACCCAGAGTTCACACAACAGATAAGAAGGTAGGTCGGCACCTGGAAATACTTCAGTGCAGTGGCGGGTCACAGCATGGACTGTGAAGTCAACAGAAGCACTAGGGAGCTATTTCAGAATACAGCAGCCTAGCACCCATCTCCAGAGATTCTTATTTAACTGGTATGGTCTGGGATTGTTATTCTAATATGCAACCAAGGTAAAGAACCACTATTTTGAAACATGCAATGGTCCAAGCCCCACTCTGGACTTAGTGAATCAGAATATTCGAAAATGAGGTCACGCACCTTTGTTTTTTAAGTGTCCCACAGATAATTTTTATGTTTATCCAGGGTTAAGGATCTAAGAATCTTTCATCTTGAAGGTCTAACTTCAGGATAAAACTCTCAGAAAAGGTGTAATATTTTCTAACCCTAGAGTGTCAGAAAGTTTTAGAAGAGCTATTTATAAGGACCTCATCGCCCCCTTCCTAAAGCTAGTGAACTTTTTTGTGAAGTCTCATAAATGCTTCAAACACAGAGGCAGCCCTCACATCTCTGGACTTACCTAGCCAGGAAACTGGACTTCCCCAGTAGTAAGTAGCTGTGGGTGAGAACTGTAATCTCCTGCCATTGTATTTCAAATATCCAACTCTTATACTTCCTGGCAGAGGGATAGAGCAGGACACGTGCTTTGGAGATGTTGTACCTCAGTGGTGGTCCTTTGGCTATGGAGAACTCTTTCAGCCACGACTACTCTCGTAACCTGCTCTTAGCCTAAGGTTATCAAAATAGCTTCCTCTTACACGTCTATGCTACAGGTATCTCCTGCCAGCTTTCCTCTCATTTCCTTACGAGTGGAACTGGGTTTGGGATCAGACTTGAGCCAGGGTGGGGACATATAGATTCAAACTAACATCTTAATTGGTTATTTCTAATGAGTCTTCAAGCTGGTGACATAGAAAGCTGAGGGTTCATTTTCAGAAATTGGTAAGTTAAGGAGAAGAAAGCAAATGAAGGGTTCAGAGGTTCGAAATTGAGAGCTAGAAAAATGCAGAAATGCAACAGTTTTAATGGACTTACCTCTACCATCAGCGAGGCACCTGTTATAACCCACAGGGCTGAAGTATTCAAAGACAAAGACAGCCACAGCTGAGACAATGAGCAGCATCACAAACATCATAACCCAGACATCAGCGCTGAAGGGCTCTGGGGAAGGAAGAAAAAATCAGTGCTGATGGTTAAAACAGAGAACAAAGAGATTCTAATTAATTTACCTATTTATTCACTTATGCAACATGCACTTTTGGGGGGAAAAAACGAGAGGTGTGTACATCCCTTCAGACAACCAAGGCCTGGACTGGGAAGAAGTAAGAGGCTATGCCTGAGCATCTCCATTTATTTGATGGGCAAGTCAAGGTTTATTTTCTTTCAAGTACATAAAAAGGACAGCATCTTGCCTATGAAATTTTGAGACTATAGAGATAGTTTCTGCATTGGACCAGTATGTGGGTCTTTCAGTAAATGGTACAACTGGAAGACATACCAGATATGGAGTAAATGGATCATATTGGACTGATTCTTGGTTTATGGTGTCATCTACATGGCCACACCACACAGTGGAGACCTAGGAAAAGTCTTCACCAATGCTCGCAAGCCTAAGAGCCAAATTCATTCTCAAAAGACTTAGCTACTATTTCAGGCTTGAACTGATTCTATAATAATTATGTACAACAAATAGATCCCTTCCCCCACTTCTCTTAAACTTTCCTAGACTTACATTTTTTAACCCAATTTGATGTATATATTTTATTAGACATCATTAGGGTGTGAGAATATAAGCCAGTGTTAAAAAACACATCCACATTGAATAGCAGTATCTATAACAGTGGGAATTTAGCAGATGACAAGGAACATGCTTCATCTATAATTAAGCAGACAACTACAAGCCAGGCTCTATCATCAGGTCACATAGTTGATGGGACAAGGTCAGGCAAGAGGGCAATAATGATCCACTACACTTTCTTTAATCGCTTTTGCTGAGTTTCTTCCAGTTGTTTTACATCTCTCTGGCTTACAGGTGTCTAGAAATTGAATACTACCTTCCAGTAGCCGTCTCTCTGAAGGCCTATAAAAAGGGACACTCTTCGGTCCCATGATGCACTGCTCCCTCAATTGTATCTCAAAATAGTTCTGGCCTTTTTAGCTAACACATCACATTGTAAACTCATAACTATGTGAATTAATATGCTGCTTTCTCCATCTTTCAAATCATTAATAAAGATGAAGTTAAAAAAGGGAAAAATGGCTGGAAATTAGAAAATATTTTCTTACTTGAAACCTTTACTTGTGAACTCTCAAGGGAATTATAAAAGCCTGGCCACTTAATCAATTTGAAAAGGACTTTTATAAGGGGCATGCCAGCTATGAAATGCAAAACCTTTTAGTGGCAGCCAGAGATGGGGGTAGAAGGTACAATTCAAAGCCTCTAAGCAGTGGAGTAGAGAACATCTCTCCCCATTGGCTCCAATTGATTGCAATACTACCCTGATTTCACTTTAGTTTAAAATTAGGGAATAACTGAGTAAAAATTACTTTCTCTATGCTTTCTCCCCCCCCCTCCCCGCCCCCATTAAGCTTAGGGAAATTTTCTGTATAAAACAACAATCATATTTGTATTGGTCTTTACAATTTAGAAAGTGATTTCTCCACAAACCTTACCCAGTCCTTAAAATGGCTCTTTCATTTTGGGTTTACCATATTTATTTTACAGAGCAGTGAACTAGATTCAGAGGTCATGGTCCTCTCAGGACCAGTTTATGAAGTGAGGTCAGTGAGGGCAAAGGTCTGTGCTTTCCCATTGTATTATCTCACATCTTAGTCTCTGGCCACCACATTTTATTTTTTTAAATATATTTTATTGATTTTTTACAGAGAAGAAGGGAGAGGGATAGAGAGTTAGAAACATCAATGAGAGAGAAACATCAATCAGCTGCCTCCTGCACACCCCCCACTGGGGATGTGCCCGAAACCAAGGTACATGCCCTTGACCAGAATGGAACCTGGGACCTTTCAGTCCGCAGGCCGACACTCTATCCACTGAGCCAAACTGGTTAGGGCAGACCACCACATTTTAGAGTTCAAACTGTGTGTTAGAACACAGGCTCTGAAGGCAGCCATATCTGGATCTGCCCATTACTAGCTGAGAGACTCTTGGAAAATTGCTTAACCTGAGACTCAGTTCTTAAGCCAAAAAAATGGGTATAATGATAGTATCAATGAGATAATATAGTCACAGTTTGTACAATAATGCCTGGCACATCACATAGTAGGTGTTCAATAAATATTGGCTTCTCTCACCGCTGCAATTAACTTACTGCTACACACACACACACACATACACACCCTGTGTGGCATTCCTATGTCATTCTAGGGCTATCCCAATGTATCACTGACTCTTCTAGTTTAGAAGCTAATTAAGGTTAGTTCTATGCTGACAGGGTTAGAATTAGCATGTGGTGTGTTTTGTGTGTGTGTGTGTTTGTTTGTTTGTTTTTATTGATTTCAGAGAGGAAAGGAGAGGGACAAAGAGATAGAAACATCAATGATGAGAGAGAATCATTGATCGGCTGCCTTCTGCATGCCCCACACTGGGGATAGAGCCCACAACCTGGGCATATGGCCTGACTGGGAATTGAACCTTGACCTCCTAATTCACAGGTCAACACTCAACCACTGAGCTATGCCAACTGGGCCTAAACTGTAGTTTTGTTTGTATTTCTCAATGTTCAAATTATCCTTGTAAAGGTAAAAGCAAATAAAATACATAAAGCTACTATGAGGATTAATGCATACATAGTGTGCGCTATCTAATAACATTTCATATAAAACTGTAAGAGCCAGAATTGGCTTGACTGCGAGTAAGAAGGTTGGCTGGAAAACTTGAGTAATTTATAGAAAAGTATAGAACCTCTAACACCACTTTGCAGTGAATTAATTGAATACCACCCCTCCCCCATAGAGCCTAAGGAAATGTTAATCATGGTTTATTCCAACATCCTCATAAAAAAAAGTTGATGTCCATTAGAGAGACTGTGACTTGTCCAAGGGCTTACATCTTATATCCAAACTAGGCTTCCTGTCTCCTATCCCAGTGTTTTGTTTTCAAGGTGACACATTATTTTTCAACCCCTTGTTCTCACAGCTCTTGCCAGAAATATAGGGTATGAGCTCATAAAAGAGTTCATCTAATTGAAACCCTGGTCTTACCTAGTCTTATATCTAAAACGTTTAACACCTAAGTGATGCTGGAGAGTGGGGAAGCACTGAATGCTACGAGGAAGCTTGGGGTGAGATGGGGAGGAGAATCAGATCAGCTTTATATGACAAAGCCTCAGAAAATTCATGTGGAAACAGAAAACCTTTTTAGGTAGCACTGAGCTCAATTCTTGAAGAAAATTTAGAATCATTGGTATTTCACCCTGCTGGGTAGCTCAATTGGTTAGAGCATCATCCTGATCTGGCAAGGTTGCTGTTCAATCCCCAATCAGGGCACATACAAGAACCACCAATGAATGCATAAATAAGTGGAACAACAAATCTCTCTCTCTCTCTCTCTCTCTCTCTCTCTCTCTCCCTCTCAATCAATATATTTTTAGAAATCATACGTATTTCAATGATATCCACAATTAGAAATTATTAAAGCAGGAAGCAGCTTCAAGGATCGGCTAGTTGAAATGTCTTCTATGGTTGAGGAAGCCGAGTCCGAGGATAAAGAAAATTTGCTCAAGGTCAAATGATGATTAAGTAGCAGGAATGGGACCAAAGTAGGACCCTTGATTACCACTCCAGCACTGTTTTCTTATAACCCTTTCTATTTTTGAGGGGTAGTGAAACCCCCCAAAATGAAATCCTGGCTGAGCTAAGCTTCCAGCAAACCACCTCCTGGCTGAAAGAGCCTGGCCACCTGCCCTTCACTGTGCCTCATTCCATCTACCTGCCCTTGTGTCTATTTCCTTCACATCAGCAAGCTCATCACCTACCTAAGAAGGCAGACGGTGAGACAGTCCCATTGCTGCGTGACACCATGACACTGATGCCGGTCTCTATGAAGGGCACAGAGAAGTCGACCACCTCGGATCGCTCCTCGTTGATGGTGAGTGACCCCACCGCCATGTAGGCCCTCTTCATGACCACCTGGGAAGAAAGACCCAATGCTCCAATTAGAACATTCAGGAAGGGGAGGGGCCTCCACACGGGAAATAACTCATCGCCCATAGTGGTTTTCTTTGTGCAGTGGGAAGAGTATATACTCTATTCACTAGTTTATATTTTCTAAGATTTGTAAAATGAGTGTTTTTGATATCTAAATGAAACAGTGTAAACTGAATCTCCATCAACTGGAGGTCCTAGTCATTGAGATCAGGCAAGGCCAAAGAAACATTAGTACAGTTAGCTGAAATTTTCCCAGGTCATGATCTGGAAATGACCCTTGATTCCTGATACTCACCTCTCCAATCATACCATTCCAGGTTCCATTGATTTTCTTCCCATGCTTGCCATTGGTGACCAGGTAAAGGTCATAGGTGAACTTCACAGATTTGGAAATTTTCTTAAGGATGTCAATACAGAAGCCCTTGCAGCATTTTTTGATGTAACCTGGCTCCTCATCTGTTTTATTCCTAAGCAGTTAAAGAAACAAAGCAACACAAAAACAAGGCTTTATGTAAGAAGCAAAATATTACCCTTTGCCATTACAACCCCAACCCCGATCATAGCTCAGCACAATTTACATCAGGCCTAAGCGAGGGAATAAATCAGACCACAGAGCTGCAATTCGCTCATTAACTCAAGGCAGCAAACTAGATTTTCTGACAATTTTTAATGCTCCTTTGAAGTATAATATACATCAGGAAAGTGCACCTGTCCTAAGGGTTCAGTTGGATGAATTTTCACACAATAAATGTACCAATTTAACCAGCACCCAAATCCAGATACAGAGAAGCTGCCAGCACCTTAGAGGCCTCTTTTATTTTGGGAGTTATAATATTTTTATTTTCTCCCCCACTCCAATCACCATTTATTCCCCCTATACCCTCTTTCACCTGTACTCAACCCCTTCTCCCCCTACAATCACCACACTGTTGTCCATGTTCATGAGTTCTTTCTCTTTTTTTTTCTTTATTGCTTAATCCCATTATCTCCCCCCATCCTTATCCCCACCAGAGCTGTCTGCCTGCTCTCTTAGAGGCCTCTTATTCTCCCTTTCAGGCACTTCCCACCATCACCAAAGGGAACCATTATCCTGATTTCTAAAATGTTTCTAAATCTCAAAATTTCAGGACATGTTGGCTTCCCCCAAATATATTTCATCACCAATGTAAACTTGAATCTCCACAAACTGGAGATTCTAGTCGCTGAGATCAGACAAGGCCAAAGAAACATTAGTATAGTTGGCAGAAATTCCCCCAGGTCATGATCTGGACAGAACCAGACATCAGAACACAGGGCTGCCAGTAATCCCATTGCTCAATGGTAAATGGAAATCAGGCATGGCGCTCAATTCATTCTATGCTTCAAGTCCCAGGCAGGCCAAGTGCTAACAGCTGGGTCAAATCTGACTATCCCATGCCATCTGAAGCCACTGGGGAAGGTGCCGTACTGGGAGACGATGCGTTTTTGGCAGGGGACTGTGTTCCTCATGCAGGTTCCACTCAGAGGGTCCACACTCTCCACAATAACAAACGGAGCCTCCTCCAGCGTTACGATGCTCAGATGGTCATCCTCCTGCTCTTCTGTCTCAGGACACATTCGGGGCCACAAGTAGTACTTCATCTGCAGGGACTTGTCTTTCCACTTCCCCACCTGCACAGGGATAAACAAAAGACCCAGAAACCATTGGTGGAGACATAGCAATGTCTCTTAGCCTCACCCAGGAAGATTTTTAAAAAGGCCATTGTACATAATAGAGAGAAGAATCATCTTTAAACCATATGCTCAAAATGAGACTATTGTGTCCAAATCTAAGAAAGGTAATCTATTCATTTACTCATCTACTTACCAAACATTACTAGAGGACCTACTATGTGCTAACACCCACTAAGACCTGTGGCTCAAAGGGGCATCATTCTGCCTTTCATTCACCTCACACTGAGTGAAGGAGTCAGAAATGTAAATAAATGTTTATGGTGCTGTGGGGGTAAGTGCTAAAACCGAAGCCTGCACCAAGTGCTGGGAAGATGCCAGTTTCCTGCTTGTGTGACTGTTGGTTTTTTCTACTTAACTATGACAATGCGCATGATAGTGAGAGCAGCAAATCGCTTTGAAAAGGTCAACAGAATGACTGAAACAAATGAGCCAGAAGGATGTGTTTTGGCTTCTAACAGAGGTCCTGTGGGAAGCCATGAGGGAACTGAATAGATCTGAACTGATATAAAATGATAAGTCAGGATTAAAGAATACTGACTCAGCTTGGCTGGGAAGGGAGTGTGGCTAGGCTGGTGATGAATGCCACAGGTCAATGCAGATATGCACCTGCCGGGCTGGGTGAAAGCCCCAGGATGAATCATATAGGCCCCTCTGTGAGCCACCACATATGGCCACACAGGCTGTGTACCCAACTTCAGGGAGCACCATTCACACATACTCCAATGTGAAAGGTGGGTGCCCCCTAGAATCATGCTCTTGGTGGACTTGCTGCCAATCATCAGGAGAAAGGTGTGGGTACCATTATCTTTTAGAAGATCCATTCTTTCTTGTTTTCATAATAGAATCTGCATGACTGTGTTGGTGGGTTTTTGTTCTCACTCTGTCATTAAGTTTATTGAAGAAAGAGGGAACACCTTTTAATTTTCTATAACTAAAAATCTTGGATTATCACAGGGAATTATGGATTGCAAGCTCTTGCATTTTCCCAAGCTATAATTTCCTCCATACCACAATGCAAATTAGCTGCACAGGTAAAGCACTAGGACTACAAAACTACTTAATGTATTAACACAATAAGATGCATTAAATCAATAAGGAGCAAAAAATGGGCAGAGCTGCATAAATTTTCAAGCAGGCTTAGATTAATGGGTTTAAATGTCCATATTTATACAAAACCCAAATCCTCTCCTTTGTTTCTGCTTGTTCTACACTTTGGTTTTACCTAGTGTCTCCCTAGGTGTGGTTTGTACTCCCCTCCAACCTGTCTAGAAGGTGCTGCCCACTTCCAGGCACAATTAGGCCTACACAGCCATTGCCCTTGTCTAATTGTGTCACTGTAACATAGGCAACGCTTGTTATCCTGGGCCATCTTGTTAAAACTTCAACAACCTCCCATCACCCTCAGGATTGTGTCCACACTTCTTATCCAGATATGTGCATTAGGCCTAATCTACCTTGATAAGGTTAACTTCACTGTTTTGAAACATGAATCCTTTGTTCCAGTTGGAAAAGGCAGTTGTTGGTATTGGGAGCTAACATGGGTAAATCAGGAACAGGCTTCAATAAGCTAACTGCATTTTCTTTTCCGATAGATTCCCTATATCTGTGACTCAAAAATGCTGCAGACATTGCATTCTGGTAAACTTTTTCATGGCACCCTTATAAATGAGATGAAATATAATATAGATTATTAAATACATTGCTAGATTTGAAAGGAATGTAAAATCCATATTTAAAAAAATATATTTTAATGAATCAGTGCCAACATTTAAAGAGGTCTCTAGTGACATGTCAGAGAGCTCTGTTCTTAGAAGTGGCCTGTACAGTGTTTCAAAAAACAAAATAGAAGTCATAAGGTAGCCATAAAACTGTAGATACAGAGCTAGACAAGGTAGAAGATACCCTGTATTGCAGAATTAAGGTAGGAAGCAATGTGACTTAATTGGCATAATGGAGTGAAACAAATGAAATGAAATATAGCAGTATTTATACTTAAAGTCTTGCATTTAGATTTTTTAAAAGCAACTGCACAGTATTGAAAAGGAGATACTGAAGTTTACAGCAAACTATATAAGCTATTGTAGTAACAAATGGTATGTTTATAGACAGAATGTCAAGCACATGGGATGAGGGGAGGGCATAGAGCAGTGGTTCTCAACCTTGGCTGCACATTAGAATTACTTGGGAATCTTTTTAAAATCCTGATTTCTGGGCCTCATCCACCGGAAATTCTGTTTCTTTGTTACTAATGTTGTGGCCCCTCCCCTTAACAAAGAAACAATTTCCGGAGGACGAGGCCCAGGAATCAGGATTTTAAAAAGATTCCCAAGTAATTCTAATGTGCAGCCAAGGTTGAGAACCACTGCTCTATGCCCTCCCCTCATCCCATGTGCTTGACATTCTGTCTATAAACATACCATTTGTTACTACAATAGCTTATATAGTTTGCTGTAAACTTCAGTATCTCCTTTTCAATACTGTGCAGTTGCTTTTAAAAAATCTAAATGCAAGACTTTAAGTATAAATACTGCTATATTTCATTCCATTTGTTTCACTCCGTTATGCCAATTAAGTCACATTGCTTCCAACCTTAATTATGCAATACAGGGTATCTTCTACCCTGTCTAGCTCTGTATCTACAGTTTTATGGCTACCTTATGACTTCTATTTTGTTTTTTGAAACACTGTACAGGCCACTTCTAAGAACAGAGCTCTCTGACATGTCACTAGAGACCTCTTTAAATGTTGGCACTGATTCATTAAAATATATTTTTTTAAATATGGATTTTACATTCCTTTCAAATCTAGCAATGTATTTAATAATCTATATTATATTTCATCTCATTTATAAGGGTGCCATGAAAAAGTTTACCAGAATGCAATGTCTGCAGCATTTTTGAGTCACAGATATAGGGAATCTATCGGAAAAGAAAATGCAGTTAGCTTATTGAAGCCTGTTCCTGATTTACCCATGTTAGCTCCCAATACCAACAACTGCCTTTTCCAACTGGAACAAAGGATTCATGTTTCAAAACAGTGAAGTTAACCTTATCAAGGTAGATTAGGCCTAATGCACATATCTGGATAAGAAGTGTGGACACAATCCTGAGGGTGATGGGAGGTTGTTGAAGTTTTAACAAGATGGCCCAGGATAACAAGCGTTGCCTATGTTACAGTGACACAATTAGACAAGGGCAATGGCTGTGTAGGCCTAATTGTGCCTGGAAGTGGGCAGCACCTTCTAGACAGGTTGGAGGGGAGTACAAACCACACCTAGGGAGACACTAGGTAAAACCAAAGTGTAGAACAAGCAGAAACAAAGGAGAGGATTTGCCAGAAATTCTGTTTCTTTGTTACTAATGTTGTGGCCTCACCCCATAACAAAGAAACAGAATTTCTGAAGGATGAGGCCAAGAAATCAGGATTTTAAAAAGATTCCCAGGTGATTCTAATGTGCAGCCAAGGTTGAGAACCACTGGCATAGAGGATCCCACTCTGCTCAGTGTTCATCATGCCACAGCTGGAAAACTAGATTCTGATCTTAAAATTCTATGATCAGCTGATTCTTGTTTACAATATCATTTTCGTTTACCCAACAATAATCTGTTCATCTAGTCCCCTCTAGCACACTCTCTCCCAACTTCCTGTCAAACTAGCTGAATCACATCCTTGCTTCACTTTAATAAAGTCAACCGCCAACAACTACACACCAATTCTGTGCCACACAATGGGTTATATGCTAGAGATAACAATACCAGGCAACATTAATTGAAGGCTTAGTATGTGCTAGGCAATGAATGCACCTAGTAATCTCCTTAATCATCATAGCATACTTGTCAGATGGAGATTACTGCCTAATTTCTTCTTTTTACAGATGAGAACAGAGGGTGTTGATGACTTGCTTACAGTTTCAAGGTGAGTGAGTGCAGTGTCAGGATTTGAAGCTGAACAGGCTGGCTCCAGAGCTTGGGATCTGACCCACCACACAGTACTGCTTCTCAGGCAATGAAAGAGTAAGACAGTCCCTGTCCTCCAAGGACAGTCTAGTGAGGAAAGATACCATCCATGGACAACAATATCAAGTTAGGTTTTGGTAATTGCTCTAATAAAAGATTCAGAGTAGAAATGATTATGACAGAAAGGGTCAGGGATAAGCTTGGTAAAGATCCTTATCTTTGATCTGGGCCTTGAAATGTAAGTGATGGCTCATCAGGTGAAGAGCTATCACTTTATCCACTGAGACCAAGGCAAGAGCCAGGGTTGCATTCCTACAGCTGCTTGCTGGAGAGACTAGGGATAGTCCTTCCTAGGTGAAAGATATGCCGTGTGAGGAGGAATGGTCTAGCCCAGTTCTCCTCCTCTTTAAAGGCCTGATCACGCTAGCCAGGCTTATCTATCACTCTCAAGAACCAATTGAATTGCACTCATCTCTTCCCAACTTGTTGCTGTCTGGTGGGTAGTTTGAAATTGGCCCTGGGCACCCTGAAATTGGAAACAGAACAAATCAGGGCTTCCTCTCTCCACCCCTGCCTCCAATTGTTAAACATTCACCAGCTCACCTCTATCCAGAGCAACCACATCATTCATTATTTCATACTATTTCATACTTTATTTAGTGACTTTAAATTTCAGGTGTCTTGTCTCCTAAACTAAATTGTAAACATAACCTAAATGTTTCTGTGATTATGGACACATTTCTAACACTCTGTGAGCTCTGTTTCGACACCTGTCAAATAGGGAGTGATTTCTAAGGTGTCTCCCACACACTCTCGTGATCCCAGGATCTCTTTAGGACAGAGGCTCTCTACTCTACTTCCCTCTGATTAGGCCCCAGTAAAAAGAAAGGTGTTCATGGTGGTTAATTCCTGAAGGAAGGGGAGTATCTGTTTGTTTATACAAAAGACTAACTTGTCATAAAGTCATTATTCTTTTGTTGT